CCAAGCTCTACTCCATACTGCAGGGACAGACCCAGCGTCCCTGGGGGGCTCCAGCATGGCCACCAAGGGGTCATCTATGCAGCAGCACAAAAGCACATCCCCCATCAGCATATCCCCTCAGTGTGACACATTAAGAAAACCTTCCCCGTAAATAGAGAAAGCATGGAGAACATGGCTGGGATTTTTAGGATGTTTTAGCCCAGCTTCTCTCTGGTAGAAGCTATCTCCCCAGGGAGGGAGAGGAATAAACCAACCGATCTCCTGGGGGCTCTTTCAGTCCTGTTTCCTATGATCTATGTTTTTCAACGATCGTTCTTCATCAGATTTGCATGCAGGCGCTTGCAGAGAGATAACGGAGGCTCTCCCTCCCGCAGAACAGCAAAGCCTTTGTCTGCTCCGGAGGGACACGGCTCCACGTCCATAAGCAAAGCCAGGAGATGGAGTGGCTGCATTCAGCTCGGTGCAATCAAATCATCAGGCTCTAAATAAATAATCAGATGAGTAACAGGAGCGCTGCCCATGCCTGCCGCTCTCCCTGCCTGCTCGGGAAGTGCCAGGCAAACACCAACGAGGGAAACCGAGGCCAGATGAATGAGGACTGTGGGCATGGTGGAGGGGAAGGAGCCCCGGTGATGGATTCCTGATATCTGTTTGCAACTCATCTGAGTGGATTTTACACGAGAAAAAGGGTTTGTTTCACAAAATGACCTCGGCGGTCCCTCCCTCCAGGATGTGGGCTTGCACCGTCCCCCTTCCTGGCTGGGCTCCCTCCCCAGCCGCGGCAGTGCCCAGCCAGGGGACTTTGCACCCGCTCACTGGGGATCTTCTCCCCTCCCGGCTGTCCTGACGTGTCTTCACCTGTGGGGACCAGGATGGTGCTTGCTGAAGGAGAACTGCTGTGGGTGCCCCCCCAGCTCCGGTCCATGGTGTGGCCATGCTCAGCAGCAGCGCAGGTGGTGGTGGGGAAACCCTCCGGGCCACAGAGATGTCCCTTGATCCACTTCTGCAGAGCTTTGGTTGCATGGAGGAGATCAGATGAACACAGATTTCTTATTAAAATTAATGTGCAAGGCCAGAATAGCTCCATCCCCTGGTTACACCTCTCCTTTCTCCTCTTGGCCCCTTTCCACTAGCTCTCTCTGCAGCTCCTGCTCGTTTTGCATCACATCGCTTATCACAGTGACAAAAAAGCCGGACCCTCGCTGAACCCCGCTCCCTGCTGGGTGTCCCTGTCACACCTGGCTGTGGGCAGGAGCCAGCCGGGCCATGGGAAAGGCAAGGGACGGCTCCGGGAGAGCCTGGTGATCCCCGGAGGGGAGAGTACAGCCATCCCTGTCACGCTTGAGGGCTGGGCGAGCACGAAGCACTCTGTGCACAGAGCCCCATTGATGGGGAAAGGTCGCCTGAGGCCATGAGGTGACAGCTACAAGGGACTTTTGTCCCGGCTGTGATGGGGACAGGGATGGGGATGTGCCATCGGTGCTGCCAGGTCTTTCCGTGCACCAGTGTGGGATGCTGAGGCCATCCCTCTCTGGGACCACATCTCAACCAGCAGCATCCTGGGCTGCCAGCAGCATCCTGGGCTGCCACCAGCCCCTGGGAAAGGGGTGCTGGGGACAGGGACATCCTGACACGGTGAGGGAAGGAGCTGGGGAAGCTACTGGGAAATTTGGGGAGTGGAGGGTATGGAAGCAAGTGGGATAAACCAGCTGTAGGCACACTTGGGCTGTAAATCTGGAGTAAATCATGGGCAGCACAGGGGTCTGGGGGCGCTTTGCAAAGCCTCAGGCATGTCATGAGCCATTTGGCCATTGCCATTTGGGTTGGAAACCAATCCTGCATTAACTGGGGAGAGGCGGTGCTCCCACATCCCGGCCACCAAATCAGGAAGGTGGTTGGGGCCCCAAATTCGGGTGTTACCTCTGTCCCCATGATGTCCCCTTTGCCCCATGCTGCCAGCATGGCTTTAATTGGGGTCCTCGCCCTCAGTGGTGTTGAGTATCTGATAGCACGGAGGACCCTGGGCCTCCTTCCCAGGCTGTCAAATTTGGAACAGAAAAGGGAGGGCCCTGCATATGAGGGAAGAGGTGGTTTAACAGGGGATGTCAGGGAGCAAAATCCTGCAGGGCAGGGAGAGACTGGATGCCAAAACCTAATGGAGAAAAAGGCTGAGACACGCCAGAGCATGGTCGGAGGCCAAGGAGGGCTGGCGCTCGGTGAGCAGGGGAAGCTTTCCTCGCTCTGAGGGGGATGACCATCTCAAGTTGCTCACTGCCGGTGGCAGCCACAGATGCAGCTGCAAATGCATCTAGGAACAAGCCGAGAAAGGGCTTTTGTAAATCTTCAAGTCATGTTAATCGCCCCGTCTGTGAGCCCCTGGATAGCACCCTGCGGTGCCGGGGTGCTGGGGAGCCCCTTGGCCTGGGGGAGTGGAACTGCTCCTGCAGCGGCAGTCCTGTATCCCGAGGGATATGAGCAGGCGAGCGCTGCACCCAGGGATGCTTGGGTGGCTTCAGACGGGAGCCAGAGCTGGAAACCCTCCGTGGGGTGAATGCAGCATCGGCCCCTATTGCTGCTGGACTCTGCGACCAGGTGTCACTCCTTAGTTGAATGCACCAGCAACAGCTACCCAGAAAAAGACCCTTTTCCCTGCAAATCACAGGGTGCTGGAGGCTCTGGCCGGGCGAGGAGGTGACCGTGCTGGGGGCGAGGGACTCGGTGCTGCTGGGAGCTGCGGGCTGCAGCGTTGACTTGTTTCAGCAAAATCTGGGCTGCCAGGAAGATTAATTATATCTTTAAGTTTCTTCAGTTGTCAAATCTTGTAACTATCGTCTCAAGCTGACGGTTATATACCTAGCAATTAACTGGCAGCAAGGCTTCACAGGCAGCAGGGGGGTCTGGCCTTGTTTCCCATCTACGTACACAACACGGTCTCAAAACGTTGCCTTAATGGAGCTTAACCATGCTGGCAAATATTTCGCTCAGAAATCTCGCATTTGCTGCTGTGTTGCACCAACAAACGCCGAATCAATCCGGGCTCTGATAACGAAGGCTCCTCGTCAGCAGGCACGAATGGACATGTGCCTTCTTCCCTCCCCAGACACCCTCTTAGGCATCCACGGGCTGGTGCAAATCAGGAGGAAAAGCCGCTTGATCACCATCCTTTTCCTTTACTGCCGCTTCCCCTGATGATCAGTGGCAGGTACAGACCTGTCCCAGCGGGCATGGGAAGCAGGGCATCCATCAGGAAAGGCTTTCACCTACGGGACTGTCTTGTCGGTCCCTGCTAAAAATCCCGCTGGTGGATTCAGCAGCCAGAGGGGTTTGCTGTGCGCGCAGTGCTGGTACCCTCCACAGGATGGATGGCCCTTCGGAGGTAGCGCTACCAAAACAAAGAGCTCCTGGATTACCCACTGCCCCCAGCTTCAATTTTTTGCCCTCGAATGATCACACTTGGACATTTTAAGATCTCTCCCACACAGAAAGCATGTAAAACACAGCGTGTTTTACACAGGCTGGGGTGAGTGGCCCTTACGCCAGGCTCCCAGGGCTGCATTCACCCTGCTTCTGCAGGGAGATGTCACGTTGGCTTCACCAAACAAGCTTCATGGGCACAAGCTTGAACATAGGAAGTTCCATCTTAACGTGAGGAGGAACATCGTTACTTTGAGGGTAGTGGAGCACTGGCACAGGCTGCCCAGAGAGGTTGTGGAGTCTCCCACTCCGGAGACATTCAAAACCCGCCTGGACGCCGTCCTGTGCAACCTGTTGTAGGTGACCCTGCTCTGGCCGGGGTGTTGGACTGGATGATCTCCAGAGGTCCCTTCCAACCCTGACCATTCTGTGATTCTGTGAAACGCTGGCTCTGACGCATACCAGGACAAACACAGGCTGCTCTGCAATAGCTGCCCTCCCTGTGATGCTGAAAGGGAATTTCCTTTGCACTGGTACAGCACAAGAGTCAGGCAGGGGAGTTTTGGCCATCCAGCAGACAGCAGTATCAGGGCTCTTGGGGAGGAACCCAAGTTTTCTGGAGGTGCAGGTGACCACAGGACTCCTATTTTCGTGCTCTCAGCTGGTGAGCTCACCTTCTGTGAGGACCAAGGTCTGGTGTCACTGAGGTTGGCAGCAAAACCCAAGTCAGTCCCAGGGGAGCCAGCCCCTCCTGCTGAGGCTGTCTTTAAAAGGTTATCAAAACCTCCATGCCCATGGTTTCAGACTCCAGGAACAATGCTGGTACGGAGCTCGCAGCGGTGGACACCTGGGCATGCTGGAAAGGAGGAAAACACAGAGAAGAGAAATCGTTCTCCTTCCCTCCAGCTACTGGTGGCTGAAGGGCTCAGGTGAGTCCTGCAAGCAACGTGGGTTAGATGACATGTGAAGATCAAACGAGGAGCTCCAGGGCACCCAGCGAATGCGTCTCATCACATTGCTCATGGATATCCAGAAACACCGCCTGGAAGCAGCTACGTGAGCTACATCTATATTTGCCAAGTGGAGATACCTATAACACAGCTCTACAGTAACACACCCCCCCGCCCCAGCATGGGCAGGAGCATGGAAAACATTTGTTGGGAATATTGTTATATTTGGGGATGGTTTGTACCTTCAAGAAATCAGCTAAAAATAATTGACAGGATGATTTGCAGCCATCGGCAAACAACGTTACTTTCCTGAAAGCAGCAGCACCGGAGGGAAAACAAATTGAAGCAGGTGCAGGAAGAGTTAGGAAGCACAAGAATTGCATTCCCGAGCCAAATGGACAGATTGAGACAGAGGAAAACAAATTGGGAAGGGAAATGGCTGCCTATTGCCCAGATTTTTCAGGCGCTGGGAGGAGGTGGAGGTTGGGTTCAGGCTCCGTTTCACAGCCTGGGAGCTGTGTCTCTGTCTGAGCAACTGTGTCAGTGCTCAACCTGAGGTGAGGGTGGATTTTGGGGTGTGTTTCCACCCTGGGCATGGCTGGGATTGCAAGACCTGGAGATCTGGGGAGTAGCATCCTACAGAAGCACCAGTCCCACCACTGCAATGACCATGAGGAGCCCAGCCAGGATGCAGATGCTGATGAAGACGATGTCGCTAGTGTCCTGGCTCTTGATTTCGCGGGCGTCTGTCGCTCCCCCTTCCCGCTGCTGGGCATCCACAAGGTTTTCTGCCTGGCTGAGCCTGGATGGGTCGGGGCCGGCAATGAGGGTCACCGAGGCTTCCTTTCTCTTTGGTTCACACTGCACCTCGTACTGGTGGATGTCCTCCTGACCACCCGCTGAAAAATTGATGTACAGGGTGCTGACGATGACAGACGTATTGTTGCGCTTCTGCAAGACAAGGGTCGCGGCTTGTTGGGGCTCTGTGCAGCTCGTTTTCACAGGGGTTTGGAGGGCAGTTGCCCACAGATCAGACCAGCATCTACTGGGAAGATGGGAGAAGGACTGGGAGCTCCTTTCTGCAGCTGGTACAACCAGCACGGGGCTAACCATCTACTCAGCTTGCTTTAAGAGAAGGTTTGCTGACCGCTTACCTGGGATTCGGTGCCGCAGGTGTCGAACCTGGTGTGTATTTTGAAGTTCCTGCCAACCACCTGCGCTGCACAGGAGGGGGTCCCCAAATAAATCCTATTCTTCTCCAGCTGGGCCAGGGACTGCACGGGGATCTGGATGTGGAAGTCCGTCCGGGTACAGCTGACGTTCATGGGCACAACTGTTGGGGCAGAAAATAAGGTACACGTGAAGGTCCGTTGGGAGCGGACGGATGAGGCTGTAGTGACTGCAGTAGCTCAGTGCAGAGCCACAGCTCTTTTCAAAGCTCTCTGTCCCCATCACACACGAGACAGGCGACCGATGGTGCCGGCAGTAGCAGGGACATCGGCCTCATGATTTTGCCGTGCATCTTGCAGTACCTGCTGTTGCTGCCACAGGACTCACATTTTCAGGGAAAAAGGAGCTACACCCGAAATGCAGAAAGCATTATTTTATATATCAATATTTTAGTTCTGCCCCATGCTGAGGTCAGATAGGGTTGGCTCCCAAGTACTGCCCTGCTTTCTGCCCTAGGGAGAGACCCCACCACCAGCCCTCTTGAGCCTCATTCTCCTTCCCAACTCTCCGAGTGACACCTGAGTGCCATCACGGGTACCACCATCATGCAGTCACCCCCATAAGCAAGGAAGGATGTACCCTGTGAGAGCATCATTATAAAGCCAGTGAAACACCCCTGCAAAAGACACTCTTACAGCAATGAAAGAGAGGAGATGCATCTCAGGAGACCTCCCTGTAGCTGCGTGGCTGCCACATAGTCCCAGGGGAAGGGTGAGCTGGGTCCCTGGCCCTAGGGCATCCTCCTGGGGATTGCCCAGCCCAGGTCCTGTCCCAAGCATCATCAGTCCTGCACCTCCCTCAGAATATTATTTTTTATGGGGAGCTGGTGAACTGGGCATGGAGGAAGCTGCTATTGAGCTGCCCATGATGCCAAGAAGAGGAGCGAGGCAATGGGGAACCCAGCCCCGTTCCATCCCTCTCCTGGCACCGTAGTTCCCCCCATGGAAAGCATCCGTGCAGGGAAAGAAGCAGGGAGAAAAATGCCCCCCTCTTTAAAGTTAATCCTCACTCAACTTGAACCAACCACTTGGGCAGTATGAATTATTGAATCATTCCAGCTCCCTCTGAATCTTGGCCTTAGGAAACTGGTAAGATGCAATAAAATCGATACGAAAAAATAGTGTCACTTTGCTTCACTTAGTGCATTATAAAACCATTAGAAGATTTACCAAATAACTAAAGTGCATTAGATCAGGAGGAGGAGGAGAAGAAAATGGATCCTCTCTCCTGGTGTGAAGGCTTTCGTTCAAATGGCCATAAATCATGCACACCCCACCCAAGCCATGCCCTTTAGTTGGCCCAAAAGGAAAATATCTGCATGGCTGAAGAGCTGTGGATGTGGATGTGGGGGCTGAGGTGCCCCTTTGCCACCGAGGGCTCCCAAGGAAGCCGGAGAGGCCGGGGCCCGCCGGGGAGGGGCGGCG